ACGATAGCTTGCTCAGGGGTACCTCAGGGTAGCCGTTCAGTGGATTCGAACCCCCCAACCTTCCGATCATGGGGCGACCACACTACCTACTGAGCTGTCTACAGTCTGAACATTTCATGTTGAAGTCTTTTCACAAACTGGAATACTTTGTTGTTTACCTCAGGTTATATTGACCTGATACTAAGCCCTGATGAGAAACAGATGATTTATTATATCCTTATGCAAGACATTAGAATTAAGAGGATGTACTTATCTGTTTATTTGTAGGCATTTTAAAAAGGTTAGGCTTTCAATATTATTTTGCTGTTTTACATTTCTTTTTATTTTACTGAATATAAGGTTTATGCCAGGCCTGTCCTAAATTAACAGTAGTGACAATTTCTGATTTTTTTTATGGTTCTGTGATGATTAATCCACCAGTATGTGCAAGCTATTTAATCCAAATGAATACTATCATTATTGGCATTATTCATAAATATTCAAGTTTACAGTTTTACAAAAGGAAAAAAGCAGAAACAAAATCGAAAATCACATTAATTTTTTATTAAAATGCCAAATGACAGCTATTTACTTGCACTCCATAATTTTTTGACAGACTTACTAAATTATTTGTGTTTTCTTGTTTTTAAATAACAGGTGATCTAATAAATCTACTAAGCACAGTACACTCATAAGAAAAAACACACACTATATGCCTACCTCAGAACTAACAAACAAAGCCACACCTGAGTTTTGTGGCTCTCTCGGCACAGCTTACAGGTCAGCTGGATCTGGAAACCCCTCTAGAAATTGTACAAGAAAACATTAGATCATCATCATCATCATCATCATCTTTTATGTCACCAGTTTAAAATTGTAATATAATGGGTGATAAATATGCAATTAAAGTCATTGAAATTTAACAGAAATATGTTAAGCCATCTTTGTGTAACACTGTGGTAAATAATTTCCACTTCTATGGGTGAATAGCAATAACAGATACATAACCATTTTCTCTGAAGTTTTCACATTTCTGTATTCTGTCAGTCTTTTGTGACCATTTGCTCATCTGCTACAGGCTGTGCTCCTTATATTTTTAAGCCAACTCTGTTCTCTTCTTCCATTTTCTGCATCTACTAAAACAACAGAATGAGTATGAAATATTAACTGAAACTCAAATAGTAAATTTTTATTGTGTATTCAAGCTGTTGTCCTGCACTGCTAGAAATACTATCCCGTGCCCACCCACAGTCACCGCACTCGGTAATTATCATACACAAACGAGGTGCAGCCACTCAAAGTGCAGAAAGTCAACCTGCTTTCATAGGGCAGAACTCACAACTTGCATGTAGTGTAAATAACAGCTACATTTTCACTTTAGAGGTTAAATGCTTTGCAATTCCCTCAAAACAAAACAAAAAAACGTACCAGTCTTCCTGTGGCTAACTCTCACCAGAGTTACCCAGCTGGAGTTCTTTGGCTAATCCAGACACTATTTTTTCCCCAGCAATATTTACCAGTTCCTCTTGGAGGAAACTAAGGCATTCCACAGCCAAATGGAATACAATGCGATACAAGCTCTAACAGCTGGGTGTGCCCAGAAAACCTCTAAAGGGAGGCAACCCACACTCATTAGAAATCTACATTTTCATTCCAGATGTACAAGCTGAGGCCCTCACACTACCACCAATATGCAATTTATACAGTGTTTTTGAAAAAACAAAAAATTAAGACCATCACCTAATGTAAAGCTTATACCACAGCTGCTCTAAAATAATTACCAAAATACAGTTAATCCATCAGCAAGGCCAAGCTCTTTAATCAAATTATTTTAATGCTAAAAATGTTCAAATTTACTGTTTTACAGATAAGCAGAAAAAAAATAAATAAATAAAAAAATAGTAAAACAGTTTAATTTTGATTAAGATGCCAAATTAGTTATTTACTTGAGGTCCAGTGCCCAAATTTGGATATTTAAAATAATTTTAGATTTTGTTGTCAATTGTTTAATAAAATTTCTAAAATATTTCCTTTTTTTCTTTTAAATGACAGTTTATATAATAAATTAGTTAAGGACTGCATTTCTGCATCAAAGCTACACCCGAGGCACAAAATAACCAGCATATTCAAAACTAACATGTCACTGGAATCACACTACAATTTACAATTTTCAGTAATGCAGTAACTAAAGCTGTAAATGCACCAAATTCAGTAGCCACATTACAGCTACGTCATTATCTGCATGATAGATGGGGGTGGGAGGTTGGGGGGGGAATTTACAGGAATATATACATCTTAAATGGGTCTTGCTATAATCAGCTAGTGTGCAAACAAACACTAAGTGCAAACACTGCAAAAAGAGGCTGTTGCTAACACAGCATCGGCTCTTTCGAAGCATTCATAGACAACATGCTAACAAAAAGTCTGGCCAGAACCCAAAGTGATGCTAAAGCTAAGTGTATGCTGACCCCAGCACAGCAGCCAGAGATAACAAAGGCAGCGATGACTAGTCAGGCTTGTAACATTGCATCACCCATTTCCAGTTGTTTCTACAGTAGAATTACTGCGGCTTTGCATCTCTTTGGCCTGGTTTTTAATTTGCTTTCTGTTCCGTCTTGTGTTCAATCGCAACTAAACTAAAACAAAGTTTGTGCAGGCCTTTAAGCTTTGTCCCACACACAAACAGGGATTTGTGTTGAGTATCAGGACTGAAGGGTAAGATAAATACTGTTAGATAACATGTCTTACAATGAATTTTAGATCTTTTTACAGAGCAACACAGAAGTAATGTTACAAATTACTTTTTCCCACCAAGCAATGAAGTATTGAATGTATACATTGAGTGCTGCATTACTTTTAAGAATAGTAATGAGTGGATTACTTTTTTTTTGTCAACACCAAACTCAACATGCCATCAATGCCTAAAACAAATCCGACTGGCCCATGTAGTTCCAGCTACTTTTTCTGCAGCCATTTTTCTAACAGACTGGAAGAGAACTGATCAACCTGAGGACATAAATCCCCTAGCAACTAGTGTTAGGGCTGCAGGATTGCAGAGCAAGTCCACCATGCACAACTCTAAATGCAGGCAACAGTGTCAGGCAACTATAAAAAAAGCTTTAGGCTGAACTTGGGCGATCGTGGTTCAAGAGTTGGGAGTTCACCTTGTAATCGGAAGGTTGCCGGTTCGAGCCCCGGCTTGGACAGTCTCTGTCGTTGTGTCCTTGGGCAAGACACTTCACCCTACTGGTGGTGGTCAGAGGGCCCGGTGGCACCAGTGTCCGGCAGCCTCGCCTCTGTCAGTGCACCCCAGGGTGGCTGTGGCTACAATGTAGCTTGCCATCACCAGTGTGTGAGAATGGGTGGATGACTGGATGTGTGAAGCGCTTTGGGGTCCTTAGGGACTAGAAAAGCGCTGTAAATACAGGCCATAACTCAGACACCTTAAGGGTACACCTCATTCAGACCAACAACACATGATCTTTGTCCGAAATCTCCATTGGGGAGATGCATGTTATCTAACATCCAATGCTTCAGCAGTTGAATCTTTATGAAGATGAAGAATATTTAAACAGCATAGTGATGAAATGTACTTTTAGTTGTCTTCAATTCTGTTGCAGATGTACTTGTTTTCAATTTGTACTGTAGTAGTACTGAAGTTAAAGGGTGTTTTTTTTGTTTGTTTTGGGGGGGGGGGGTTAAGAATAGAACTATATTTTCAGTGTTACTATGAAACAGCCGCGTAGCTTAAAATTTTTTACGGTAGCTTAGTGGCGTTAACATTTATCGATGGTACTCTTCAGCACTTACACTTCCTCTTCCAACAGGAGTTGGATGGATAATCACGACTAAATATTTCTTGAAGGTTGCGCTTCAACCGTGATAGTTTCCTGTTACTTGATGCAGACCATCCTTCCTATAAATCATTCTTCAAGTATACAAAACTATTACAGAGACTAAACTGAAGGCAAGACTAATAACCGGTAATTATTTCCTCGTACCTTTGCTCGAACCGTCAGCCGCGTACTACCAAGGACGCATTTATTTCCATACCCTGCAGTCTCGACGCAGTTTGCAGCAATGCTGACAAACAGCGTTGGACAGAATAAAAACGTAAACATTAAGTTAAGCAGAAACAAGAACGTGGTGGACGTGCACATGATTTGGCTCCATTCTCACTGACAGCTGTGCAGAAGCTTCACCCCATAAACACACAACCGGAAAGACGGGCTGCCAAACTAGCTCGCGTCTGACTAAATCGAAAGTGAAAGCAAGTCAGTGAAAGCGAGAGCATTACTTGTTTTTTAAACCAAATTACCATAATGGCACATAGTTCACCAACAGCAGCTGAAATGTATCCCGCGGACCCACGTGGATCGCCCAGTAGACACACCTCCTATATATACGCATTTGATTAGCCTCCCTAATTGGGGACACGCCGTGTTTTCCTCCAGGTGATCAGCCGACAGTTTTGGTTAGACCTCTACCAGTAACGCACTAAAGTGTAACTTACAGCTCGCTGATCTCGGTGACATGTGAGTTGAAAGAGGATCACCGGGAGCGCCGTCATCTGCGCAGAGACTGCGGTTGCCGTTGTCCTAGCCAGCGGAGCAGCAAGCAAAGATTACGCTTTTGCACCTCATTTGTGATAATAAAGCTGGTTTGTCTCATTGGTCTGCAGCCAGTGTTATTAACACTTGTGGCGAGAGTGAGTACGGGTATGATTTCACAGGCTGACTTGCACACGCCCTGTTCTGGTCGTGTTGAGACGTTCACTCCTCCTCCAAGTCGTCACTTTGTCGGTTTCTTTTTTCTTTTCTGTTTCTTTTAATGCATGAGTCAACAGAAATGCTTAACAGAAATGCACATTCAAGAGGGATTTTATTTAATTTTAAATTGATTTTTTTTTAAACACAAATGTGCCTTGCAGTTTATTTCAAACATCAGGATAAACCACTGCACTGAGGAAAGATGCCACAAAAAGGCTCTCCAGCAGATCAATAATCATTACACAACACCGATAATGAGGACAGGTTATGCTTTATTCATAACAAGCCACAGAAGAATTCACTTCAGTGGCCGCCAATTTGCCTGGATCAGAAAACCAGTGAAGTTAATGATTTAGGCAAGTCATTCCAGCTAATAATTTGTTTATTATTACAGCTGACCAAGCTAAAACAGGACGACTTATTTTGGATATAAGCATACGGGTAAGATGGTTGAGGAAGGTTTTCATAAACAGGAAGATGAAAGTCTCGAGGCACATTGTGGTGAGCAGCTAACACTTAAGGTTTGTTGTTGCTGTTTGGACTATTTAAGACAAGCCAGAGCTTTACAATCATGACTTATTGAAAATGTCCTGTATACTCTGCAGTTTTGTGTGGATTCTGGTGGATTTCAAAAAATATGGAAGGATAGTCTGGTCCTAAATGTAACAATCAGACCCTGATTGTAAAAAAAAATCTAGGCAAATTCATAAGATCTGAATGAGTATTTGTCCAACAGCCAATACTGGTTGCCACCTCGTTTGAAAGAAAGTGAAGACCCCCCCCCCAGCTCTTTAAAAGTTCACCGCCATGACATAAACAACCCTCTTACGTATGCCAACTTCACGCCACCAATAGAAGTAACATCATCTTCTTAAGTTTCCAGGGACCATTCACATGGTGGGCAAATGTGACAACCATTAGAGCGTGGAAATACAAAGATCAGCCTTTGCTCCTGTATCACAAATCACTGCAAAGAGTCAGAAGCAATTTCATAACTTAACCCAAGCTTGACTGTAAAAACAGAGGAGAAAGCAGGGCACTTAAAGCTTTCTGAGCACCATCAAAATATTTTAGTTAGGCTTATAATAGCAGGTATTTAATTTATGAAACTGAAATTAAATTGAAACTGTTATTTGAGTCTTTTATTCATTTTGTCTCTATACAGCTGCTTGAATATTGTTTAAAAAAAATTATTTTCTCTTTCAAAGTAACATATGGAAAGTTAAAACATCACACCAGCTTTAATATTCATCTCCAGTCTTAATTGTGCATCTAAAGCTTTCTTGAGGATCCTTTGGGTTTACAGGACCACGTGCTCCAGCTGCACCAGCTCATCAGTCACCATCAGCTTAGGCAGCAGCACCATCCAATTTAAGACCAGCCAGCAACTCGGACGCAGTTTCTTGTTCGCCCTCTTCATCTTCTTCCTCCTCCTCTTCCTCCTCGTCCTCCTCATACTCGTCTTCCTCGTAGTAATCGTCTTCTCCGTAGTCGTCTTGTTGGTCTCCACCTCCGGACGCTGCGTTCTTCCAGTAGGCATCGTACCCGGACGCACCGTCGTAGTAACCGTCGTCATCGTCGGCACCGGCCTGTCGACCAAACTTCAAGGTGCGCGCTGTGAACAATGCACAGGTGTCAACGTTAGCTCTGGTGTCATTACGCATGGTGGTGAAGCGACAAAGAAAAGGTCCTGTAAGATACAGTCTGCGTAATTCTCTGCAAGCTATGTTTATTCTAAGCCTTCAGGTTGTAATTTAACTGATTATATATCACTTTGTTCCTCTTGTCAATATATGACTATGACCATGCTGTGATCCTTCCACATTTTTTTGCCTCTGTCCCATGTCGGAAGTGAAATGTTAATATTGCTAAAGCTCTTTGTGAGGAGCTACAAATATCAGATTCACTGAGCAGGGTTTTTTTTCAAAATACATCTCACTCTGCTAATAGCAAGTCCTCAGAGATAGAAATCAAATCCTGGCAGTACATTTGAGAGAACAGCAATGTGGCCAACACGTGTTTGGCACCGCTTCCAAGGTCAAAGTTTAATTGCATAACATCAGACTCTGCTTTTACAGCAATAAGCATTGGAGAAAAACCCAAATATTCATGAACAATTCTCTAGAAAATACAATTAGCTGCACTGTGTACATGACTTCTGGTGAAAAAGAAGAATTTATTTTTCCCCTCATGGTTTTGTTTCATTTTCAAAACACAGTCTGCGGGGAAGTAGCAGCTGTGGCAACTTCCCCGAAACAGGAGCTTTACAGGAAGAAAAACAACTAAACAACTTCCAGTCGTTTAAAGGTCTGCGTAACACTCACTTGACATGCTTAGATCTTTGGTCTCCTGTGTCTCGTGACCACATTTGGGACACGGAGGACCTTTTCCTTTCTCCTGTTTGAAGACTTTACTCTTAGTGTGATCATCACAGTAACAAGCCTGCAAGACACAGTTCAACTTTCAGTCAGTTATGGCATGGAAACGCTGGTGCATGAACATGATATTGATGCATAGTTCTCGCTCAACTTCAAAACTAAAGAAAGCAAAGCAGTAACAGTTCAGGCTTGTTTAGACAAGAGGAGTAAGCTCATTCATCCACATCCATTCATCCATAAAAACTCGATCGTATTCCCTTCCTCCAGTCTCAAATTCAGAGATCCTCACTCACTGTAACCAATATATGGCAGCTGTCTTTTGCCTCTTTTTGATACAGACTGTACTCTTAAAAAAAGATTGAATTGGAAATATAAATAAATAACCCCTGCCCCAAAAAGCAGAGTTCCTATTTCAAATGCTTTCTGATCAGATTGCAACTGTGGCACAATGCCACGTAAACAGCACTTGTGTAAATGTTGTGAGCCACTCCATACGTTTTTATTTTGTTCCTGATGAAGCCTGATAAACCTGAATGTCTGCTGTAGTCATTCCTACATTCTAATATCCTCAATAAACATGGCTTCTCTGTGCAGAAATGCATGCGAAAGTTCAGCTGGCGTAAATTCGTCAAAATTACCATCTTATCATAGTATAATCAGTCTTGTTGTTTGTTGTCTATATGGAGTTGGGGCAGAGTCTCATGCTCAGGAAATGCAGTTTGGTTGCTAAGAGACCAGCAGAACATATACGCTCAATTAATAAACAGCTCCAGCTAAAACTTTGCTTTGAGGGAGGATCAGCATTATTTACAGTGTTAAGAAGACATCCCTTTCAGCTAGCATGATGAGCAGGAGTGATTACAGCAGGCTAATGTAATGTGTAATATTTAGTGTGCAAATGGGCACGTGAGGGTAGCTTTAATTTAAAGCTTTAAAACAGACCTGAGAAAATGCACGTCAATGATTTACTCAATTGGCACTGGCTGTCTATGCAGTGCATCTTTTATAGTGCAATTCTTTATCCTGTAATTTTCCAGTACAAATAAACAAACATTACTCTATATATACACATTTAAGGATAAGCACACTCATTTGTTGTGCATTAAGAGGTGATTTATTGCAAAAGTATGCTTTGGCTACACATATTGTCATGAGCTGCCTGGCAAATTCCTTCACTTGTGCACTTCAGTAAAAGTATGCACTGCGACTATCAGGCCTAGCAACGGCTCTTATAGGTCATTGATAGGACCAACTTATTTTTAACCTCTGTAAGATTAGCTGACAACTGTTAAACTTAGCACAAGGAACAACTAAAGGCAGTATGATCTCCGGCTGCTATTTTCAGCAGGTCCATTGTTGCCAGCCTGTAGCGCTTTCTTGCCATTTTATTCGTTCTTTGATGTTTAGTTTCAGTTACGTGTCTGTTGCACACAAGGAATATTTCCAGATAAAGGCAGAAAAACCAAAAGCAAAACCACATGAAAACAATGATGTGAATTTGTAGCCGTCTTATCAGATTTGTTTCGTTCTTCTTTTGTTGTTACAAACAGTTTTGTAATGCAAGTTGATAACGTGGGTTTATTTTTACAAACATGCTTGTGATCCCTTTGCATTGTATTTTCACAGATAGTTTCCTCACCTTACATCGCAGACAGGAGTGTTGTCCGAGTTTATTACAGGAAACACCTAAAATAATACAACGATATTATGAAAACACATTCGTAACATCACTACTGCACATGTACCCTCTGGATATTATCTGCTCATATGGAAATGATACGCTTTAAACACTCCATTGAAAAAGCCCATTGAATGACAGTGTGACTTACATTTGAATGTTTCTGCTTGAAGAACCTGGCAGCTTGCCTGGTGCTCAAACTGATCATCCTCACATAAGAAGTTCTGACAGAAGGAACAGCGGAAGATTCGCCCTCCTATTTAAGAAGTTAAACCAGTCAGTGGCTCTACTTAGGTAAGCAGGTGAAACAATCAAACAGGGGTGGTCTCACCATGATCCCAGACACTGCGCTCACACTCGATGCAGTCGGCATCAGTCAAAGGACATGAACAAGCGTGAGTGCTCAGACATTTCCGACCATGGCACACCCAAGCTTCACAGAAGTCGCACACTGCCCCCTTGTGATTGAGTAGGAGAATAACAAGGACCAAAATCAGAAATTGTACTTTCTTTTTTTATGTTTAAATAACCTGCTGATGAGTTTACTGGCATGTAGCAAAAACAGACACTGATTACTGAACACCAGCTGGACCCTTGACACACCTTATCATATGCTACTTAGCTTAATTATTCATTTTGATTGCACTTGCACAACACTGCACCGCGAGCATAAAGAGTGTCAGAGTGATACTGAATGGTAAATGGTAAATGGACTGATTCTTACATAGCGCTTTTCTAGTCTCCCGGAGTACTCAAAGCTATTCAACATACATTCACCCAATCACACCCACTCTAAACTCAAGTGCAACTAATAAACATTCACACACATTTACACGCCGATGAACGCATCGGAGGGCAATTTGGGGTTAGTATCTTGCCCAAGGATATTTGGCATGCAGACTGGAGGAGCCAGGAATCAAACCACCAACCTTCCAATCAGTAGCTAATCTGCTCTACCACATGAATAATAGCTAGCCGCAGATTAATGCAGAGAGAATCTACAAGCTGCTGCTTCTTGGTTGTAGACGACCTCTGTTGGTGTGCCTAAGGCCTTGTTTATTCTCCTAGCCTGCAGTCTGGAGTGCTGTTGCTATCAGTGACAACATCTAGATGAGCGGCTGATTGTTGTGGAATCTGCTGGCAACATGGATCTCTTGGTTTGTTTGTTATTCGGCATCGAATGGCCTTACATATCAAGGGAGGGTCCTGCTGCATTTACAGTCTCTGAAAGCTGACATTATCATTGTGTAAAAGGACTCCTCCCATGCTATTTGATTATAAACCTAATATACCGGTGGGATTTTAAAGTACTTCTTTTTTTTTTTGCTGCTATCATTATACGAGAATGTAGATCCAAGTCCCGGCCCCGTGCAAAATATTCTCACAGCAGCAGAATTTAAAAATAGAGCAGGTCTTGACCTTGTGCACTAGAAGTTTTCTCCCTAAAATGGACTCGATAAAGCTCTGCACTGGCACAGCTGAAACAGACAGGCCACAAATGAACCTGCTGACTGGATTTGTTAGAGTTTTAAGAAATCAAACTAGGACCTTGACTAGAAATTCCAAATATCAATACATACAGTGCTGTGAAAAAAGAATTCGTCCCCTTCCCAATTTATTTTTTATTTGTATATTTGTCACACTCAGTTTGAGATCCTTAGGCAAATATTAATATAAGACAAAGATAACCCAAGGAAATACATACTACAGTTTTTAAATTATGATTTCGTTCGTTAAGGCAAAAAAAAGTTATCCAAACCTACCTGGCCCTGTGTGGAAAAAATAATGTTTGCAAAATAAGTCTTTTTTAAGGTCATACCAAACCATCTCCATATAAGCCCAGACATTGACTAGTCCACTCAAAGAAAACCTTCATTTTATTTTTTTCAAATCATTCACAGGTGGACTTGCTGGTATGTTTTCTGATCACTGTCCTGCTGCACAACCTGGGTGTGATTAAGTTTCCATACTTTCCACATGCAGCCGTGTAGACTCAAATAGCCATTTCCCCTTAATAAATTAAATCATCATTTCATCATCTTGTACTTACTCAGATTATCTTTGTATTACCCAAAAAATTTGATCTAAAAAATGTAAATGTAGCAAAGGTTTATTTCCACAGCACTGTACGTACGATCTACCTCAAAAACGCTTCTAAATTCTGGAAACAAATAAAGTCACTATCATATTCCAGTCCCATTTCCACCCTGTCTAAACATATTTTAAATAACTCAGTTGAAATAAAGGATAAAGCAGACATGTTGAGCATCTTAATGGACATTTTATATCAGCTACTTATGTTTTTAATGCAAATCTAGAATAGTCTTGATGCTCTACATTGAACTGTCTTTCCCATTTTGTATCGTCTTTGTGCCTGAACCTACTTCCTCTATGGCAATCTTAAAATGTTTAAAAGCCATTGAGCCAAAAATTTCATCTGGACCTGAGAACCTCACAAACAATTTTTAATCAGATTCTTCAGATTAACATCATCCCTGAAAATCTAGAAAGCTGCCTATACTTTATTATTTTAAAAACATGGGATCCCCTCAACAAATATTGCCCTAAACCTAAATTTCTACTTGCGCCAAAATTCTAGAATTTTAAATAAACTCAACAGTACTGTAACAGCAACTATGTTGGTAACAAATTCTATTATTATTGCCTTGGACTGAAAGCTGCCATGTTTGTTGATCTGATTCTGATGACCATGAGCTGCTGTTAGAAAGACTCAGTGACATCAGTTAGAATGATAAGACTACAGGCTAGTTCAGGAATGCCCTTTCAGATAGGACACAGTGTGTTTATACAGATGAATATAAGTCAGGTTTCTATGAAGCTTTTAAATGGAGTCACGCAGAGGTCAACTTTGGACCTTGTTTTTTCTTCCTTTTTATTATTAATATAGAGAAGAATATATATAGAGAATATAGAGAAGACCTAAACCGCGCATTTATGCAGATGATACCATAATTTACTCACAAGGCTCTACTCTGAGTCACACTGTTGACAGCAGCTGCAGGCACTCTTTAGAGTACCCAACTAGAGTACCCAGCATTCTCTTCTTTTGCAGCTCATTCATGAAATACCTTTCAGAGAACACTAAAGCTGAATCCTTTTGTTTCCCTGGGAAAGTACAGATGGTGCCACTGCATGAACTGGACCTTGTATTTGAATTGAATTTACCACTGACAAAATTAACTGACTTGTTTTATTTTATTTTGATGTTTGATGTAACTTTGTCATGGTGCATCTTCTTGGCCAGGTGGCCCTTGAAAAATAGATATTTATCTCAAAGACTAAATAAATAAAAATATTATTTCTCCCAACAAAACCTACCAGAACAATGTTCCATTAAATAATGTCAACCTAATATCATTTTTACAGTCATAAATTACATTGCTGAATGAAAATAAATCAAACAGATATAGAATAGAAAACTTAAATATACAATAAACTTACCACCATGCCCATTCCAGTGCTGTGGATCCCTGGATGTTTGACAACACAATCCGATGACTTCATACATTTCATTTTACCTAAAAACAGGAAGAAAACTTTACAGATGAATAAAACGAACACAAATAATTTCAGTGTAATGGTAAATAGTGTAATACATGAACAGAATCCCCTTCACAACATTTAGCCAAGTTACGATCACTCTCAAGGAGCTAGGTTTGCCAAAGCTACTGTCTTCAACCAAGAAATATCTTTATTAAAGTAAATACAGAAGCTTTCACTAAGCCTGAGTTAAACCTTCTGATAACGCTAAAAAAACCCACGCTAATAACAGAATAAACTTTCTGGGACTTCCTTATATTGATGATTAAGCATGCTTCAAGACAGGCTGAATAAAAATGAACTTGTACCAGAATAATAATAAAGGAGAAGAGCATAGAGAGAAGAAAACAAAACAAAACCACAGAGTTCATGAGCCAAACTTTTTGAACTGTGTGGTTTTCATCATCTATCTAACAAAATAATGGAGTGTAATGGTAGAAGCATGTAAGGTTATGTGAAAAAAAAACAACTAAACCTTCTTTCAATTCTACTGTTTTACATATCAGCACATTAAAAAAAATCATCTAGTCCTTAGCATGACACGACATGCAGAAACGTGTGGAAAAACTAATGACATCCCCCCTAGTATTTAACAGTGTAAGTAGCAGCCAGGTACTGCTAATCAAATGAACTTGATTTATTGATAATCAGCAACTGTCAGCACCTCTATAATAACAGAAGCTTTGGCAGGTTGCTGATCTGGAGCATTCAGGTACGTTAACACTATGTCATAATCTTTCCAAAAGTGGAGATTCCAACAAATTCACTCACAGATCAGTCTGTGCAGTGCTCCGTGAAACTACAAAAAAACCCGAGAGCAACATCCAAGATTCTACAGGCATGTAAAATCCTCTGTACACCAAAGTATTCTACCGTCAAAGGTGAGGACATCGAAAGCTTGAGCCAACCACAGCAAATGTACAACAGAATGGCTTTTTTTTTTTTCAAAGCATTACGATGATTGAATGGCCCAATCACAGTCCAGTCAAGCTAGAAAATGATTACTTTGTTACTGCTGCTGAATCTGGTTCTACAAGTGAATGAATCCAGGGGTGTGAATAATGTTTCCACACAATGCTTCTGAATTTGGACTTACTTTTTGTTAAGCAATTAATGACCTGGTACAATGTGTTGCTTATTTAGGTTATATTAACCTTTTTAAGACCTTGCAGGGACCTTGCTATCACTGAGCTGGCTGGATTGGCACATTTTTGAATGGGCTTGGATGTGAAGGCCACAAATGAGCAGGAAGTGTTAGCTTTAAAATGAATATCATTCCAACATTACTCAAATAACACGTGCAGTGTACTCACCACACTGCGCGCAGACAGGCAGCTTCTGCACCGAGTTACAGAAATAACAGAAAGCCCTGTTCTTCTGTTTTCTAGCATGTGGCATCAGAAACGTTTAAAAAAATGTTAATTATCTCAGAATTATGGAGAATCTGCAGTTGCACATTGGTCATATAAGTGAATAAAATCACTTACCTCTGACATTTGTCACATTCCTGCAAAAATGTAACAGTATAAAAGATTAGATACATATTAAGGCATTGCTGTTGTTTTAATTGGGCATCTATCAGCTACCGCAGCTACACACCATGTTGGAGTTGCAGGGGTGTTTGGCCACGTCAACATGTTCTCTGTTGGCTCGTATTTGCTTCTCTCGCTCTTTCCGATTTTCAGCCTTTTTTCGGGCACCGGTTTTCTTTTTGGGCATCTCTGGTTCTCCGCGGAGCTTGACACTGACTCCGTCACCTGCAAACACGGACAAACGGGGTGAACCACGCCGGGAGGAAACTGGGCGACTTCTTCTGCGTGAAATTCAGCTAAGAACGAGCAACTCTTAGCTGATTTCTAATCTCAGTGCTTTTCCAATAAGATGCACAGGGACTACAGCCAGCGACACGGGTGGTGAATTACGACAACAAGCACTACAACTATAAAAAGTTTCTGACATTTCTGTTCATGTTGGCTAGCAGCTCCCGTGTCTGCTGACTGAGCTGGTGTCTCATAAGCAAATTACATTTAAAATAAACTATAACACCACTCAACACATGTGTACATGACTTTTAGACTGTAAAGGAACCTCCTAAGTGTTCCTAAATGTTACACGCCAGCGTAATTAAAAAGAAAATATATTCTTTTTTGTATTTTTCTTTACCGAAATGATCAGTTCTGAGAACACAGCTAGGTCCGTCCTGAAAATGTGTACGCCGGAACACTCGCCTAAAAAACATTCGTTCCACATATGCTGGTTTTTGGTTATGGTGGCTTAGCGTCACCTCTTTTCATTTAGTGATTGAAGTTAAATAATTTACTTTTTTATAGGGCAGTGGTAATGCATAAATATACAATATGGCCTACTTTAAATAACACAATAAACATTTGCAATAATAATGATATAGTCTATATGATATATAATAGAGTATATATTACAATAAGATCTAAATTTAACTAGTAAAAGATCATTTCTTTTTCGAATGTGTTTGGCTCCAGTTTTTCTTATAATGCTACTCCATGTGCTAACGCTAATGGGAGCTCTACAATTGCAGCACATTTCCTGTACCACACTTGAAAATAGCCCATACGTTGTATAAATGACACTGAAACAATCCTGAGACAAGATGTAAACCTAGCTGCTGAAAAAGCAGCTAGGAAAAAGTCCAAAATATAAAATAGAATTCTCCAAAATGCCTTTTTTTTAAATTAAAACTTTTTTAAATCAAATTGTGCTTCATATATAACCATTAAAATTACCTTTAAATCCACTTTTTGATGTTTTGATTTTGTTGACAAGTCTTTTGTAATTGTGAAGCCATTTAGTTAATATCAACATAGTAATTATGCACTGCAACAAATGTGCAACCTTGTTATTGAAACCTATGTAGCTTAGAACAACAATGAGATGATATGTCAAAGAAGAAGTGAGATGATTGGATCATGTTTTAACACCATGTGCAGACCAAAAGTTAGTCGTCTTTGACATATTTTGTATTTTCTTTCTGTCTTTTCTGACTAGATTTGGTGTGTCACTCTAACCAACGCATCCCTGTTGCCCATATCATGGACTGGTAGATTTTGAGCATTAAAGCATTTTCTGCTGCAAGTCTCACTCTCCCAATCACACCCACACATTCATACATTGCTTTTATCTATACCTAAGCACTTTTATCAGCCAAACCCCAACGAATACATCAGGGGCTGCCCCATATTACCAAAAAAACAAAACTCACAAAGATTTGATCTATTTCATTTATAATAGTTTGAATTATCTGTTTGAGCAAGGATTGGAAAATAAATATTAAAAAGTTTGGCAATAATTAATTAAATTGACACATTAACATAACTCCCCTCAAGGCACTTCATACTGTAAGTTAAAAGATCCTACAATAATACAGAAAACCCCCAACAATCGAACTTTTGAGCAAGCATTTGGTGACAGTGGGGAGAGAAAACTCCCTTTTAACAGGAAGAAACCTCAGGCAGAACGAGGCTGGGGGATCTGTTTGGGTGTGAGGTGAGAGAAAATGGACAAAAGAAAGGCTGTGGAAAAGAGCCCACAGTGCAATATTAGATATTTAAGATCTACTTTTTTATTAGGTTCCCAAGCATTGGTAAATGGGCTGTCTCAAGCATAGCACAAATAAAGCATTACAAAAATCTATGAGATTTTTTTGATGGATTTTATTTTTGTTGTTTTTCTTAAATATATAAAAGAAAATATAACCTAAAAGCTCGATTGTTTTTATTTATTTATGTATTTATTTATGCTGCTATCTTTAAAGCCTAAATTGCTCTCCAATGGAAGGATGACCCTATAATATCCTGCCGTGATTTCTAACAGTTGTAGATTCATCACATGACGTCGTGGTCGGTCAGCGGCATCTTGTCCACGCCCAGGGCACGTGCTGATGAGCAACGAGCCAGTCCTGGGCGAGGAAGGAAAACAGCTGACGGGGAACAACAACACAGAGTCGCCTTCTCCTGCAGGTGGTGGTGTACCGTGGACAAACTCTTTTCACACTTGGCCTGTTCGGGCTGCCGCCTGGCATCCTGGTCGTTATGTGGGTCTGATACATTTCTGAAGCATCTAAAAGAGGGTTTGATGCGAGCTCTGCGTTGAGGAGGAGGTGGAGGAGGACACACGGAGCTCGCCATCCATCCTCCCTCCCAAAAAAGAGCAGCAGCCGCCGCACAATGGCACCGTCCCTCATCCGAGCTTGCCGCAGTCTGGCTCTCTCGACGTGGTTGGTGTCGTTTTGCTTCGTCCACTTGCTGTGCCTGGACTTCACGGTTGCAGAGAAGGAGGAGTGGTACACAGCTTTCGTTAACATCACCTACCTGGACCCCGTCACGTCGCAGGTGAGGACGGAGAAAACCGAGTGCGGTCGGTATGGCGAGCACTCCCCTAAGAAAGAAGCTAGAGGTCTGGTCCTGGTGCCGGCCCTCCTGCAGGACAGACAGGGGTGCGACCCAAACATCAGGTTCCCTCCTGCCCCTCCAAACACCCCTTGGGTGGCGTTGGTAGCTGCGGGGAATTGCACTTACCGGGAGAAAATCCGTAATGTCGCAAACCACAACGCCTCTGCAGTTGTCATATACAACGTGGGCTCCACTAGCGCCAATGACACCATAACAATGTCCCACTCAGGTAAGAGACAGCATGCCAACTCTTTTCCCTAACACTGTCCCAGACTCCTTCAGGCAGAACAGATAATCTACTACAAAATAGTCCCGGCTGTGTTACTGAGCCCTGAAAGCCCACATGCAACTAATCTTCAGCTTATCAAGTCTCCATCCAAGATCAGTGGCTTTCATCCCTGCAGTGAAGCCTGCAAGCTCTTCTGCTTCACTGCAATCACATCAAGCCTAATGTGTTATCAGTGTGTTACACCCGAGGAGCTCCTCGATCAGATATGGCCATATATTTGCCAGATGTGTTATTAGTGGAATACTATTAGGTTGGGATAAATATATATACTGTATGTTTTATTCCTAAGCGATACTTTTTTATTACTCCACAGAAGCATACATAAATGAGGGTGGGTTTCAAACTGTGGGGCATAGAGTCTGCTGGTTTTTTGTTGTCAACTGCTGATTAAAAACATGGTGGGAAGTGTAGGGGAAACATTTCCAGCTTCCAAAGTGCTGCATGCCACAAAGAGCTTGAGAACAATGGTCACAGATTGTCCATTTGAGCTTCTGCTTCTTCTCGATGTTTGACACTTTATTCCTCAAATAAATCTTGTTTGGTTACCTCAAAGCATACTACAAATTCTAGCTAAGAAATAAAACACAATAATCAGCTTCCAGTGCAGATGATGATGGAGTAAAGCTATAAAAACAGTATTTTAAATAAGGTTAATGTCCTTACATATGCTGAAAGTTATTCCCCACATTTCTTCTAAATAAATAAGAAATACTGTGGAAAAGAAAAATAAGCCCATCTGTGTAAAGGATGACTTTGAGTGGGCTTCACCTGCTGTTCTGAAGAAGCACTAGTTATGTTTCGGAAGTAAAAACAAAATGCATTGATTTGTAAATGTCAAACCCCTCGCTTATCCACATTTTTAGAACACAAAAAACACAAAATTTGAGAAAATTTACAGTTTTAAGAAAAAAAAAACAGTGTGCGTGTGCAGTATCCCCTCTTCTTTTAACAGCAGTACGTAAACATCTGGGATCTGAGGAGACGAGCTGCTGGACATTTGGGCCATGAATGTTGTCCCATTCTTGTCTGTTATAGGATTCTAACAGTTCAACAGTCCCAGGTCTGCTTTGGTATATTTTAGTTTCTTCTTTTGTACTTTTCAGCCCTCATGGTGTTTTTGGAGATGTGCTTCATACTGATGCAGCCCCATACTATCTATCAGAGATGCTTTTGAGCTGAACGCTGATGACAATCCAGATGGTCCTTCTTCTCTTTAGTCCAGAGGATGGGGTATTCATGTTTTCCTAGAATAATTTCGAATTTCAATTCATCTGACCACAGAACAGTTTTTTCACTTGGGCTCAGTTCATTTTTAACGATCTTTGGTCCACAGACGACGGCGGTGTTCCTGGATCATGTTCACGCATGGCTTCTTTCTATGACAGAGGTTGTTTAACTTGTGTTTGCAGATGGCACAGTGAACGGTGTGCACAGATAATAATGATGATTCCTGGAAGGGTTTCTGAGCCCATAATGATTTCTAGAGTAGAATCATGCCTGTTTGAGATTTCTCCAAATTCTCAGAATAATTTGATGATCTTATGTCCTGTAGATGATGAGATATTCAAAAAGTCTTCGAGTTATTCATGAAATAAAAGGTTTTAAAATTTTACATTATTTTTAAGTTCTGTTCTGGTTGAAACATAGTTTTGTTAGATTTTCAAATCATTGCATCGTTTATATTTACATTTTACACAGCATCCCAGCTATGTTGGTTTGGGTTTGTTTTTACCGTCACAGAAGAAGAAGATGAGTACAACTTTCTTTATTATACGTGTATAAACCGAGTTTTAAGTTAGCCATGGCTATTCAGTCTTGAAACCGGTCAAACCAGTTTGTTATTGAATGGAGAGTCCCCACTTTGTAAGGTATTTGCATTTAATCAAAGAAGACAAGAGCCTCTAGACTCTCAGAAAGTGTAAGACAAGGATAGTCTGACAATCGCTCCTCAGTGTGACACTAAAGAACAGCAAACCAATCTTTTGACTGGTAACGCAGTCAGTACATGCAAAGCAAGCACTTAAAGACTAAAGCGAGTAAATGCAAAATGATCAAATAACACACCCATCACACTTTGATGACATAATCCGTGTAAAAATCTCATGAAAACGACACTTAATGTTCTTAGAGTCAGGTCTTTCCTCGTTGTTTTGCCAGAAGCGCCGTGTTGATTAACGGTAATTGGACAAACAGGGTTGTTTAAATAGCACCCCATGCAGAATAATTTACATGCTAACAGCTTTGTAGAACAATTGTAGTGTTTGTTTTTTGTTTATTTTTTAATCCACCCCTCAAAATCACATTGAAAGAGAATCATAGATCTTTAGTTTTACCCACAATCCCTAAAAATCAATAATGTAAGTCAAAGGGAAAATTCCTGCTATTGCTCTCACATTGCAGTTCCCTTCTCCTGTAGTTCTTAAATCTTTGGCTGTTGCAGACGACAACACGGTGCCCGAAGGCTGTTTGACAAAAGGATCTGTACAGAAACAGATGTTCAAACTAAAAATGCAAATCATAGTCAAAAACACTGATCAGTCCACACAGAAAGGAGATGTATAAAAACTACTTGTAGGCCATGTTGGTGTAAGTTTTACGAGACTTGTATGTCTCATCCTGTGACTTACTCATGTCATTTTATTTTTAAGTTTTGTAAATGGACTTACAAATCACTGATAATGAACATTTAAAACAGCAGAGGACAGGAAATTTTACTGTGAGTGTTTTGTTTCCTTTTGTCACACATGTTGTGTGACTCATACTATGTCGTACCAGGTATGATGTAGGACCCTGGGCTGGATGGACTAGAGGAGCACAGAGATAAAGCTGTGTGAATTAATATTATATCTATATTAATATGTAATTTCAAAACTGCTGCTAGTGCCACAAGACTGTAATTAACTCTCAGATCTCTTTCATCTCCTTAAAAAATGTTTTTGCTTTTTTATTTCCGTACTTTTTTTTTTCTTCTTTTTTACTGCTTTGGTTCACTCCAACCACCACCATCAGTCTCCTACCAAACAGTGGCATCCAGAACTCATTGGATACCAACATTGGACTGCTGCTGCTTCATAGATGTGACTTTTTTCCCACAGCAAAGTTTTAAGGTTTTACTTTTTTTCAGTCAGCCTGTGTGTTGATGGTATATGACCATTAAACATCCTCTGCTCCTCCTCTGTTTCTCACAAAGACTCCAGTGTGCAGACCTGGTTTACCTGGAGCATCAGATAAAAGGCACCAATCTATTTTTAACTCTTGCCCTGCTTCCAACCATGACATAAATATAAACTAAGGCATCTTTAAGAGAAAAGAAAAGGCAGCCAGGAGAGGTACAGCGATAAAGCTGGTAGAGAGGAAGGAAGGTAATGGAGAGGGCTGTGGCAAAGACACAGGTCCTAATATGTAGAATGGATAATGAAGCTGCTGCCAGAGAAAGAAGGGCAGACCAGAGCCAACACAGCTGGGCTGTAAAATCCACAGCTGCTAGAGGCAGAAACTCGGCATGGCATTATCCGGTTTAAGTCTTTCTTCTCAAGCCTGATTTGTCTAAATGCTTTGTTAAACTTTAAAGAGATAATTTGAGTTTCTGAATAACCCATGTAAAAATTAACTTATTCATTTATGTAAACAAGGATTTCTCACTTCTGGAAAATTATTACTGTTGTTTCCAACCATTCAAATCAGGGCACATATGAAAAAAAACAGAAAAACAAACTAGTCGTTCCGAGATGTCCAACATTCATTATCTCATAGGTTTATATGTGCAGAGTTACATAGGTTTGAGCTTCAAACTAGTCTTTTTCCAGTTATGTAGTGGGATTAAGAGAGTGGGACCACATATATTATGGATGCAAAACACAATATCCTGCTCAGTAGCCGTCATCCACAGGCAGAATGTGAGTTTTGATAGCTGATTCAGATTCAGTCCTCACAGTCTGTGCTCTCATGTCAGATCTTGCCATCACTGCTCTGGCAGCTTAGCTATTGAAACACTCCCAAGCTGGCAAATGTGTTGCGTTACTATGACAGAGGGCTACCATATGCTGTCACATCAAAATGACATAATTTTGTCATTTTACTCTTTTTGTCTCTGTGTGTTCAAAAATTTGGCTTAAATATGTTTAATGGAACTGCTGTTTTCTGTCAAAGCCACAGCGTCTGCTTTGTGTCACAGCTAGTTTTCCTTCAGTCCACTGCTGTTAATAAAGATGTAAATCTATAGCAATCAGTGCCTCAGCGATGTCTACAGGAGGCCTAGATCCTTTTAAAGACATTAACCACACAGCCCGGACAGGCTGGTGCCAACTAAATTAACCCCATTCAGTATTAATCCACTCTTTGCTTCCACATTTTGGCCAAGTGGGTCTGAAAGACACAGATCTTTCACTAGTTCAGCCTCAGTCTCCGACATTGCCCTCCTGTTTTTAGAAGCAGCTATTTTTATCTGCTCTCACTGCGTCACTGTGAGCAGAAGAAGGAGATAAGTGTCGAGGCTTAGGGAAACCTTACTTGCCCTGTTATGCCTTTCCTCATTTCTGTTAGCTATTAAGATTATGCTGCCCGTACACGGTTGTTTAAAGGTCTACAGATTTGGGCAGTTTTATGTTTCAAGTTGTTTACCGTTTAACAAGACGTGGTGCAGTTTTATCTTGTGTTTGCAAAGGCAAATGTTGTATCACAGTGACTTTTCCCCTCTACCATATGGTCATGCTTAATAAAACCATAAATCTGCAGGCCGGGAGCCTGTGTCTCTAAGGTTACAGATTGAAAAATAGGCATACAAAACAGGAAGCATTACGTATGTTATCAGGTAGAGAGAATTACCTTACATTATTGGGGAAGTAAAGCTTAGTTCAAACTCCTGTTTAAAAACTTTAAAACTGTCTTCATCCTATGTGAAACTTTTATGAGCGTGAGGAGACTCATAGGGAGAGACTCAGATAAAGAAGTGTGACAGCAAGTGGCCTTTAGAGTCTGAACATAACGTTGTGTGCAGCCGGATATTACCATCTGTTTTCAGTCCAAATAAAAGCTTTTGTTTTCTCTCTCATTTTTTTAAAGTATTGTTTGCTTTAGAAACTCTAGCACGAATAAGCTCATTATGAGAAAGCTGCCATCTAATATTTGTGTTTGTGCTAATATTGAAAACACTGCTAGTTGGATGATGAATATAATGCCCAGTTCTTTCCATGCACTTTAAACACTAAGTGATGAATCTTGATAAATAAAAAAATAAAAAAAACTTTTCCTGTTTTTTTTTGTTTGTTTTTTTTGTTTGTTTTTTTTGGGGGGGGGGGGTTCAAGCTTCTTGTCTTGGAACTCACTTTGCTGATCCTGACATAAATCACTTTGACTCTTTAATTTTTTGTCGTGTAAAATATAGAAGCTGTTGACTGGGAGTTATTATTATTACTCTCATGCTATCTTTGTGATGGATTCATAGCATTTAAATCACTGTCATTATCGCCATCGTTCGTGATATTTAAACAGTACTCGGTGTATTTGAGATGCTTGTTGGGATGGCAGTGTGAATAAAGCCACTCTCTCTAGTGACAGATACAAGGTGTGACCCACCATGGAGAGCGTGTCCCTAGAAACTGAGTTCTACGGTCATTTTGTCCGATGTGTCATTTCCTCATCACACAGGGCAGATTAATGCTGGATTTTCAGAACAGATACAAATGTCCCCATTTCAGAGTCTATAAAAGATTGCTTTTAAGTCTGGAATTAGGTAAATATTTTTTATGTAGTATTTAATATTGATCATTCAGAAGGCCGGGCGGCAGGGTCTTGCATGTGCTTCCTGTACCTGTGTGGGTTCTCTGTGGGTACTCCGGCTTCCTCCTGCAATCCAAACACATGCGCAGGTTTGCTTTAAGTGGCTGTTCTAAAGTGGCCCAATGTCACAATATTCAACGTAACATGATTCAGATGAGAAAATTGTGACTTAAAGTAGTAATTAAAATAAATGGTTCATTACAACAATTTAAAAATGTAATGTAATTCCCTGTACAACTCAGTACAAGTACTTAAGAATGATGAATGATGTAGCAATGTTACGGCATATGAGTTTCCAGTTTATAAATATGTTCCATACCTTCAAAATTATAACTGGACTGGTACTTATGTAGGACCTTTATACTCAGGGTGGCTACCTAAACCTCCTCCCACTACAAGCTCATTCACCCAATCATGCGCACATTCATACAGCAATTTTGATCTATGCCTTTTTTCTAACACGCACACATTCAAACTCTGTTGTTCAGTATCTTGGTCGTGGATCATGTGAACAGGAGGAGCCGCTCGACCACTGCTGAGCAGCCACCCCGCTAATTACTCTAATTGTAGTTGCGTTAAGAGGCTTATACAAAGCACAATGTCATCTGATACTAAAACCCATAAAAATCAGACATTGTAAATATATCCTTTCTCCCTGGGAGTCTTTCACAAATCACTGCATCACTGCATTCTCGTATATAAAAATCGTGTGACTAAGTGTTTTACAAGAACAGCAAGTAGTTTAAAGACAGTAGAAAACTGTAGAAAAAAAGCAGCTCAAAGTACAATTTAAAGTCTTTCCCTTAATGAGAGATGCTCAGAGCGTCTGTATTACATAATCCTTCATTGTGCACAACAAGCAAATCAACAGATGGTTGCTGGCAGGAAGCCTCCGACACTGAGAGTGAGGCTTTAGTTCATCTGTCTTGTCTAAGCTCCCAGCAGCCTGCTCAAGATTCCTCTTTACTGTAGCACACACCAGTCTGAGTCGGCAGAGTTTTAGCACCTCCTCTGCTCTAAAGCACCGTTTTTAAATGCTCGGGTTGTGGTTGAATGTGTGGCAATTTGCTCGGTAAAATATAAAGTAGTCTAATGATTTGTAGCCTACTCTATGTGCTGTATGCAAATATCTGCTTTCGTTTTTCCTTTTTATTGGATTTATCGGTGCATACTGTTTTGCCTAACTCCAGTTTTGTTGTATAAAAGGAAATATTTGTTGTTTGCCCTGTGAATAGCCATTACTACCTCCACCAAGGAGGTTACATTTTGGTGGCGTTTGCGTGCGTGTGTCATCACTCTCATGATAGCTCGAACAGCTTTGAATGAATTCTAAAAAAAGCTTTGTAGGGGTGTAGAGTGAGGTCATGTTAACAATCCATTATATCTGGCTTCCATCCACCGAGGTCACCTTAATGATTTAACTAGAAACTATGATTCTATGAAGTGTGTATAAAGTGTGTATTTTCAACATATGGCAGTATGTTTCGTACATATAATAAATCATTCTAAATATCACGTTATTTTATTATGACCTTGTTATGTGCATTAGGCTATAAGAGTTTAAATAATAACAAAAGTATACTTTTTTGCAAACAAAATAAAATTGTCATCAAAAAACCTTTTCACTTGATGATTTATTGTTAGATATTTAAATTAATTTTACTAAGCAATGAAATAAGTGCTACACAAGCGCTGTATTTAAATATATAAAAATAGCAAAAAAATAATTGTACTCAAAACAAAGTCAAGTATATTAAAATGGATTTCAACCAGATAAATAATAAAATCCTGTACTTTCAAACTTCTTAAAGTTTGTTTTTAAAAAAAAGAACAAAGACAAAACAAAAAGAAAGGAAAGGTTTTCAGTTCAGTTTTATTTATATAGAGCCAATTGCCAACAACAGTTGCCTCAAGGTGCTTTATATCGTAAGGTAAAGAGCCTACAATAGTACAAAGAAAACAGAGAAAACCCCGACAGTCATTTGACCCCCATGAGCAAGTATTTTTGTGTTAGAAAATAATAAATCAATATTTTAAAAGTAAACATTTTGCACAACATAAAGAGTTATTTTATTTCCTCACTTGCAGCACTGATTCATCTCCTGAATGTCTCAACTTGTACTTCCTGTGTTGCGTGTTGTGTAGACACAGGCGATGTTGTGGCCATCATGATCCCGGAGCGCAAAGGCCGTGAAATCGTGGCCTTGCTCGAGCAGCGCATCATGATCATGTTGCAGATCACTATAGGAACCCGCAACCTGCAGAAGTACGTGAGCAGAACGTCTGTGGTGTTTGTGTCCATCTCCTTCATCGTCCTCATGATCATCTCCCTCGCCTGGCTCGTCTTCTACTACATCCAGAGGTTCCGCTACGCTAACGCACGAGATCGCAACCAGGTATGTCTGTGTGCAGCCGATGTGTTTCTGACGGGGATAGTGTTGCAGCCGTGTGGTGGATTTTCCCATATGGCCCTGCTCCAGTGTGAACGTAAGGAAAGATCCAAAATTAGCCTGACACCTGGCTGAACACGAGCATGGCAGCCCAGTGAACCATCAAACTGTGCAAATACCTTTCTTGTTGGGTTTTTTGCCATCTCTTTATGAATGGGCTGCTCTGACATTGTAGTGACGTCTGTAATGACGATCCATCACCACGGCTGTTATGATAGGGGCCGTGGCTGTGACTACTATTGTTTGTGTTTTCAATTTGAATTATACTGATTAATGTTGTAAAAAAAAGGGGACAGCTGCAATAATGAACAAATCTGCTTTCAATTCATAATGTGAGACAGACTTGGAGCAGTTCAAGCACGACTGTCTGTTATTATAATACAACTCCATGAATCGAGTTTTTGTTTTAATCCAGATTGTGGAAATGGGGTCATTAACAGATGGATGAGTTTATCTATATGTCGTGTATCTATATCTACACTTTAACTAATGACTCCTTTATTCACACATCTGTCGTTTTTATTGCTGAGACTTTTGAAAACGTTTCAAATTCAGTCTGATGTTTACTTGGTGAGATCTTCTGGTTGCTTTTGAGATCTTTAGTCTAGCCTCTTTGCAGCAACATAATTAGTTGAAACATTTTCTGAATCTGTTTTATTGTTATACAAAAGCAGACAACCAATCAAGTCAAGTAACATCAAGTGTTTTTCACATGGTCACCTGCCGCTCTATTGGGTACACCTTGCTCGTACAGGTTTGGACACCCTGTTGCCTTCAAAAGAGGGCCCAAACTCTTCCTTTAACAAGGTGCTGTGATTTTGTTCCATGTTGACGAGATAGCATCACATAGTACGAGGAACAGCACGGTTGATCTTAGTGGATTTCATCAAGAAAGATGAAACTTTATCAGCTTTTTGTCATTGTGAGCCAATACACACTATTAACCAAGGCTACTTTGTTTTAAAAGACAATTTAAATTCCTGGATTGTTCATATATATATATATATATATATATATACATATACATATATATATATATATATATGTGTGTGTGTGTGTGTGTGGAGAGAAAATGAGAAGACATTACGCCGACTGTTTACCTCTCACTACCACCCACTACGTCTGACATCTGTTCTCCACCTCCACCACACCTTTTACTCTGCGTATCCACTGTC